TAATTATGCATAAGTACAACTTATTAAAGCTCGATGTTTGAATTTGTTAAAATAACCGCGGATAAACATAATCAAATAGAGGATGAACATATTATTTTAAAATATAAAAAAATCTAAAATATAATTAGAATAATTATCGAGTTCAAACAAAATAAATAGTTATTATCTTTATAAAAAAATTATATTATTAAACCAAATAYAAATTACTTCGTTATTGTGCATAAATTAAATTATAAGAAAATTGAATTAAAATATTACACAAAAAATGAGGAATTTTAAATAGTTAATTTGATACTAATATCGATATATTTTTTGTCAAAATTTTATGATATCTTCAAACATATATTTTATTCAAAAATAAAAACATTATCGTTTTCTCAAAATCATATAAAGCCATATTATAACATCGACTGAAATAAAGAATAAAATGAAATATAAAAATCACGATGTATCTCGCTGTATTGCGCGAGTACGCTTCTAGTATATATATATATATATATATATATATATATATATAGGAGGTTTACTATACAAACCACGTTATTTGTACAAACCGTACAAAACTCATTCAACTAATCATAATTTTTTATTTTGTTCATTTTTTTGTAATTATGAGAGGTTGATTAATCATTTTTATTGTGGAGGGTGTTAATCATGGATATTATCATCTTTATTATTTTAATTTTAGAGAAATACATGAAACAATTTCATTAACACTTCATTAAGAATTATAAGAAATAATTTCATAACCATATATGAAACAACTTCATCAAAAAAAATATTATATGAAATTTGTACAAACCGTGCAAACCACCCTCATCTGTCGATTTCAATGTTTAATCTTATGAAATTTTTTCATGAAATTGTTTAATCTTATGAAATTTTTATGAACAAATGGGATTTCAAAAGTCGTACTATAACATAAACCTATATTCTTTGAAGAACCACTAAACATAAATCGATACTCTTCAAACATCACTTTAAATTGCTTACTTGTCCGAGCAATCGATGCAGAGAAAAAGACGACGAAGAGTGATTTGAGCGATGATCGGACCAACGACAAGTGATTTCAGCAACCCAAAAAATTTAATTATGTAACATTAATCCCCTTCTCCATCACACTTTATCATCTGCTTTTTCACTGTGTATCTGCTCATTCACCTCTAATTCCTTTGGCTTTTTCCAAACAGTAGGAGCACCATTAGAATTTGCAGAGCCTATATTAACCCTCCTATCATGATTGTTCACGAAAGTAGGTCTGGTTAGCTGTCTTTTCCCCAATGATTGACCATCCTGAAGCATTACAACCACTTCAGACATGGTTGGTCTTTTTGAAGCTGGTGACTGGGTGCACAACAAACCAATCTCGATGATCTTCATCGCATGTTCTCGTTGGTATTCGTTCAATTCCAGTGTCTCATCGATGAACTTCACATGTGTTTCCTCCTCGTACAACTTCCATGCCTGTTCTCCCAATCACACCAAACCCATTTAAAAGAGTTCAAAATAACAATAGGAAAAAGTGTATGAATGTGGCATCTCACATGTTCAAGGAGGTACGCGGATGGACTATCGGATTTCACTTCGGTACTCCTTCGGCCGCTGATGATTTCAAGAATCACGACTCCGTAGCTGTAAGTGTCGACTTTATCCGATAGAAGACCTCGAAGTGCATATTCTGGTGCTGTGTAACCCCTGACATTATAACTCCATAGCTGTAAGTGTCGACTTTATTCAATGAAGTGCAGTTATATCATAAACCGAACTTACAATGTCCCTGCAAACTTGGTGCTAACATGAGTTTGGTCCTCTGGTTGAAACCTTGCCAACCCAAAATCTGCTATTTTGGGTTTAAAATCATCAGTAAGGAGAATGTTGCTCGACTTGATATCTCTGTGAATGATTTTGACATGGAATTCATTGTGTAGATGAGCAAGACCCCTAGCGATCCCAAATATTATCTCAAATCGTTGGCTCCAGTCCAGACTCCCCTTTTTTGCACCTCCATTATGAACACTTTATTACCATAATATTCCAATTGTTTCAAAATGAAGATTTCATACGACAATTATTACTAGTTTTTGCATACCCCATAAGAATCGATCAAGGCTTCCATTCGGCATATATTCCAGCACTAGAAGTAGATAAGATCCCTCACTAGACCATCCGAGGAGACGTAGAAGATTTTTGTGATGAACGTTGCTTATAAGCATAACTTCATTCTGAAATTCTTCTTTCGCTCTAGCATGTTGTACTTGAAGTTTCTTCACTGCCACAATGCTATTATCGTCAAGGATTGCCTGTCAAAAATCAAACACTATCCTTTAGGGGGTGTTTGGGTGTCAAACGGGTAATAAGGAGTTTTTGAAGAAGTTAAACTCTTCTAACTTATAATAAGTTGATAAGTAAAGTAACCTTGAACACTTCACCGAAACCTCCTTTCCCTAGAATATTCTCTTCGCTGAAATCATTGGTTGCCAACTGCAGATCTTTATAATTGTAACTAATTCCCCCCTTCAGATCCTCTGAATCAAAATCATAACATGGTCCACATATACATATAGATGGATGTTATACATCTGTTGGAATTAGTATACAATATATCATACAAAACAGATATACAAATCACCTTCTTCAGTCTTCTTCGACTTCATCCGTAGTCGATACAATAACCACAAACCAAGGATAAGCAAAAGAAGAACCACACCCCCAACAGCTCCAGCAATTATGGCTACCATGCTTGAATGTCCTATCATATAATTATATGGTTAACAATTTATAATTTCAGGAAACTGAAAGAAGTGGTCTTACCCTTTAAGACATTTATGACATTTGTTGTCTGGTTGTCACTGAAAAATGGAGTCTCTGAATACCTTGCAACACACCCCAAGTCGAAAAACCTGCCTTCCGTACTTGGAAGGCAGTTATATAAACGGTTATATGCTGTGTCCATACAGGTTTGGCAACTGGTGGCGTTTGCATTTTCAACACACTGTGCAAACGCGTACATTGTTGCATTTTCACTTGTGATTTGCGTTGTGGATGCTACATAGAAATTAGAGGTTTTTGGAGTAGCGTCTCTAACATCCGATAACAACTTATCTACAGTTTGATTAAAAGTTGTTGTTGGCTGAGATGCTGGCTGATTTCCGCATGATGAAAATGGGGTACCAGTTCCATCCTGGCTCACCTTTGGGTTATTATAGAAGTCTGCAAAGTCCTCGTACCTTAACAACAAAGGAAGTAGAAGATTTAGGACTTCTTGTCCCAAACTCCTTGACAATGATAATGAAATGTATGCATGGTAAATGGAAGAAAAGCTGACCTGATAAAGCAGTCATCCAGAAAAACAAAAGCACCATTGCCCGTTGTGCAATTGACGAGTACAGAAACGCCAGCATCAAAACAAGCCACGCACTGATCTGTCGAGAGGTAGTTCCTGCACTGGGCTACTGCAAAGACAGAGTCGCCAGCACTTAGAGCCTGTGCTCTGGCATAAAGCACCCTTCTGCTCAATTGCGTTCTGAGATCATCAAGGGTAGAGTCACGATTCTTGATTAAATTTGACAGACTTCTCGGAGCAATACTACCACAGAACGATAGGATGGGGATATTAGTTCTGTTATCAAGGTCGTTTGACTGCGCAGTTCCTGGTTCAATAAGCAATAACACAAGCAACACAATCAAGACAGCCATCAACCACCGTGAGAACCCAGAAGAAACACAATAAGAGAGATGGAGGAGAGATGCCAAACTTATTGTAGCAGTCAAGAATTGTGGTCTAACAAAGTGATGGACTTATTTTATATTGGGTGACGGGTCAATCATTTCCACTTACTTGTCTTTGGTGTGAAATAGTGGTTGGTAGGGTCCTTTCCAGCCTTATCCCAAGACCCATTTTGTGAAGGTAAATTTATCCAAATTTATATTCACAAATAAATGGTATGTGGAAATTATATCCAAATTAATTAATATTAAGAGTTTTATAATTCTACATTTCTTTCCTTTTCAACCATACTAAAATGATACTCGACTAATACAGCGAGATAAATCTTCATTTTAATGTTTAGTTTTTATTATTTGTCTCTATCGATATAATACGATTTTATGTGGTTTTAAGAAAACGATAATGTTTTTTATTTTTAAATGAAATATAAATTTGAGAATAGCATAATTTTTTTTAAAAAATAAAAATCGATATTAGTATTAAATTAACTATCTAATAGTTTTCGTTTTTTTATTATAATTTAATTTAGGTCTAATAACAAAGTAATTTATTTTTGGTTTAATAATATAATTTTTATTAAAGATAATAATTAAACATTTGGTTAAAACTAAATGATTATCATAATTATATTTTAGATTTTTTATATTTAAAATAGATGTTTATCTGCAGGTAGTTACACAAATTTAAAAATGAAGCTTTAATAAGTTATATTTACGTAAAATTACTTGTAATCTTGAATTTTAAGTAATATGTATCAATAAACAGTACTTCACGCATAAAAAATAATTTTTAAGGGTTTTTGTCAAATGCTATATATATAATATAGTATAGATAATATAATTTTTCTTAAAAATAATAATTAAATATTCGTCAATGATTATCTTAATTATATTTTAGACTTTTTATATTTAAAATAGATGTTTATCCTATATTTGATTATGTTTATCTACAGTTAGTTACACAAATTCAAAAATGAAGCTTTAATAAGTTATACTTACGCAAAATCACTTGTAATATTCTTGGTCTTTGCCATATTCATGCGGTAAGGTAATGTTACTTGGCACCTTAATAGCTATTTATGGATATAGAGTGAAGACCTTTTTAAATTTGGCTTCTTTCTTGTCCATAAAACATATGCTAATTCCTAAATTTGTTCGGAAGATTCAAAAATGAGTTTCTATATATCAGTTACACAGTGATCGACTTGACCATTACTTTCTTTTATAAATACTAGTTTTTCAATTTTTTTGATTGACCTGAATATTTAACCTGCTATGTGAGTCGACTAATTTCAGGACAGGTAGCTCGGAGTCATCGCAACCTTCGTGGCCACACGGGGAGTTTTATTTCTCCTTAGATTCGAACCTGGGACCTCCAGGCACTTTTGACCTTTGAAGTTCAAACTCAACTAATAACCAAAGCTACCGGTTAGTTTGTCAAGCATACCTAAGAGAAGCTTTGGTATATGTATGTTAAAAACATCGATAAATATATGTTAGTTGTTAATAGAATCATCAACAAATAGTATTCAAATAATTCGAAAAAGTTAATAAAATCTAATTAATAAAATTTCAATATATATATATATATATAGAGAGAGAGAGAGAGAGAGAAAGAAGAGAGATTTGTTTAAGAATAAAGTTGTAAAATTAAATAAAATGAGTAATAATAACGATGAGGGTGCGGATAATTTATGCATTGTTTGTTTGATTGATGATGACGTTTTTTTTAAAAGAGGATGATGCCTTTGCCGATTTTATTAAGAAATAAATAAGTATACGTCTAAATCGTACAATAACTAATTATATGTACAAAAAATGTGGTAAATAAAAAAAACTTAGCCTATAAATAATATGAAAATATATTAACCGATCATTAATACATATACATTACTATAGAGAATAATTTATTGTTATAAGACGAATGATGTCTACAAATAACAAAAACAGATATTTCCCTCGTCCAAAAATAAGTGTCCCCGTTTCTATTTTAGTTTGTCTCAAAGTAAGTGTCCACTTTCAAAAGGTAATGTCTACTTTCAAACTCTACTCATAATTATGAGTTAGAGAATTCATTAATATCTCAATTATGAATAATAAAGTTGTTATTTAGTTAATTAAAAAGTATAATGATTACACATCTATAAAATTGTGGATATGTATTTTAGGACTTAAAGATGTATTAATACAAATTTCAAAGTACCAATCAATAAATAAATGTTTTTAAATACTAGAAGGGTATTCGCACAATGTAGCGAGATACATCTCAATTTTAATGTTTTTTTTGTCTCGATCGATGTTATAAAAAATAGAAAAAAATATTGATATTGGTACCATAATGACATTAAAATGTCTTCTTTTTTGTGTATTTATTTAATTCATTTTTTTGGTTTAATAATATAATCTTTTATAAAGATAATAATTAAGTATTTTGTTATAACTCAATGATTATCCTAATTATATTTTTATTTAAAATGAGATGTTTATCCTCTATTTGATTATGTTTATCTGTAGTTAGTTATACAAATTCAAATATGAAGCTTTAATAAGTTGTATTTATGCAAAATTTACTTGTAATCTTGATTTTTAAGTAAGATACATCAATAAACGGTACTTCATGCATAAAAATGATTTTTAAGAGTTTTTATCAAATGCTTTATAATATAGTATAGACTAATCAATATATGTTATTTACCGTCATTAATATTCTAATTATATATATATATATATATATTACATGGAGAGAGAGGTTGTATTTTATAAGTTCGAAATCAATGTAAATTAATAAATATTGATCAATTAATATTATATATCGTCACTAAATTTTAAATTATGGAGAGAAGATTGATATAACATAAATTTAAAAAAAAGTAAAATAAATTGATTTACATATATGAATGATTGCAATAAACTTTTCTAGATTTATATAATAAAAAGTTTATACATATATATATATATATACATATATATATATATATATATATCTATTTATATAGAGAAGGTTTACTTTGCAAACCATGTTATTTATACAAACTATACAAACCTCATTCAATCAATCATAATTTTATATTTTGTTCATTTTCGTAATTATGAGAGGTTGATTGATCATTTTCATTGTGGAGGGTGTTAATCATGGATATTATCATCTTCATTATATTAATTTTAGAGAAATACATGAAACAATTTCATTAAAATTTCATAAGTATTATATGAAACAATTTCATAACCATATATGAAACAACTTCATCAAAAAAAGAATATTATGTGAAATAATTTCATAAGATTAAACAATGAAATCGATGAATGATGGTGGTTTACACAGTTTGTATAAATATGAGTGGTTTGCATTTGATCGCTCCTCTATATATATAGATAATATTTAAATTAACAAAAATAAACTTTTTTAGCAATTGTGTGTGTGTGTATATATATATATATCTGTGTGTCTATGTGTTTGAGGGGGGATTATTATTAGGGGTGTGCAGAAAATCAACCGATCCAATTAGAATCGATCGACCATAATTTGATATCCAATTGTAATTGGATCGGATCAGATTGAAAATTTCAACATCTAACTTCGATCGGTCGGTTTTTAGATGACAGTCTAGAACCGAACCAAACTGAACCGATCAACATCCAATTAATCATTCGATGACCATCCAGTTGTCTATCCAACCATTATCCATTTAGCACCCAATTAATTTATTTTCAAAATGCTTAAATCAAAATTTGTTTTATGTGAGGCTTTGAATTTTTAACTTCCCTTATGTTGGATTTAACACATATTAAAAATGATTAATTAATTTGTATCATTGTTAGATAATTGAATTGAATTAACACACTGGATGAATCAATCTCATCCAATCATCCATTGGATATCCAATAAAAGTATCTGATGGATGGAACCGAACCGATCCAATCATCCATTGGATCGGATTGGATCGGTTATCCAATGTTAATCGAATCAGATCGGTTGGCAAAATCCAACATCCAATGGATGTCAACCGATGAACATGTCTAATGATAATCAAATGAGAACCAAAAAAGGTTACAAATTTATAAGAATTGGTATAAAAAATAATTTTTTGCATTTCATCAAAAATTATGATTTAAGATATTATTTTTTATGTTTTTGTGTTCACTTTATGAAAAAAAAAATCACATGTGATTTTTTTTTGTTCATTTACACCATCTTCAGCCAACACCAAGACACTAAAAAGAACAGGGGTAAAAATGTTGGCATTTATATTTGAAGGTCAATAAAATAAGCCTCTATAATCAAATATTAATATTTTATTCAATTTTTATAATTATATATGTATATTGATTAACAGTTTAATAGATTAAGTAATATTTTTTATTAAATTTATAATTTAGTTATTTTGTATTGCAAATTGTAAATTATATTTAAATAATTAATATTTTTTTATTAAAAATAAAAATTAATAAAAACTAAAATACAAACAATTTTATATTCAATAAAATGAAACTTAAACATGACATTTGTAGTTTGTTTTTTAGTGTGCAGTTGGAGTTGTTTTTAGTGTTCAAAGGACCCATCACTTTTAGTGTTTTTTTAGCAGTTGAGTTGGAGATGCCTTTTTGTGAAATGAAAAATACAAGTTAGAATATTTACATGATGAAACAAATAAATGTAAAAACAAATATATGCGAAATAATATCTTAAATCCTAACATTTGATGGGAAACAATCATGTAGAAAATGTTTTCAAATCAATTCTCACAGGTTTGTAACATTTTTTGTGGTTCTCATTTGATTTCGTCCATGTGTGTATGTGTGTATATACGTGTGTATATGAAAGGAGAAATGTCAGTTGCTTTTAATATAAATTACGAAATAAAATAAAATGATTTATATATCAATACATATATATATATATATATATATTAATGATTTTAATAAGATATTTATGTTTTATATTATATAAAACGATTTATATATATTGATTATTTAAATTTAAAAAATAAATTTTTTTAGCAATTTAATGTGTTGAAAATATTTAAAAATAACTGAAAAATGAAAAATAAAAAGAAGATTCAACAATTAATGTGTTAGAAAACATTTTAACTAAAAATAAAAATGAGAGAAAAAAAAATATAAATATGAAAAATGAATTCTCATTAAATTTGGATTTTACCTTTATGAGAATATAAGTAGACAACGTAAAAAAGAATTTATGGTGATACATCTTGTGATATACAGTGGTACTCAAATGGTATCACAATATATCACAATGGATATCACAGTATATCACAATGGGTATCACATTGTGTATTTTTGTGATTATTTGGTACCTGCCGGATTTTTGTTCACCGGAGGCCGGAGATTGGAGGTTGAAAAGATGAGAGAGGAGAGAGAAGTTTTTTAAAAATACCTAAAATGTCCTCTAATTATAATTTTAACTCAAACTACCATAATTATTAATTTTCTAATTTATCCGTTGATTTGTGGTTGAGATTAGATCTCACAATCACCACAAACTAATCAGTTCTTTATTGAATAAGCCCCTATTTTGATGATTTGACTATTATTTTGGTTAAAGCTATGTGTATAGTAACTGGTAAGTAGTTGATATTAACATGTATTTATGACAAAATACAAACCATTCATATTAATATCAATAAATTTTCATATTCTCATTAATTAATTATAATGAAAAGACTTGGAATTCTTATATGCGCGAAGGTAGAAGAAAGGTATAAGTCAATATTCAAAGATAGCACTAAGAAAACTATTTTGGTTTTATTTATTATATTTTATTTCAATTAAATACACTTATAGTTTTCTACAAAGTTGAGCGACTTCACCGACACTTCTATCCGCCAATAAGTAGAGGCGGAAGTCAATTGTCGCTAAAGTCTTGGCCGATGACTGATTTTACTGGGCGGATCACCAACACCGGCTGTGGGTTCATCACCCGCTAAATCCATTGGGAAAATCTTCCAATAATTACTAAAACTTAATTAAATCAGCAATGGATATATTCGATGATGAATACTTAATTATTAACTCTATAAAAGGTCCAAATAACAACATATTTTTAAACGTTATAAGCCAAACTGTCTTTGCAATAATGGCGTATGGTTCACGAACATGACTCAAGTCAATATCTTGACTTTAACACGGCCCATATCTTTATGAAATTTGGAAGATGTTCATGAAGACAATGTGGCAGTTACAACTCCCTTATTCATATGGAGACATCTTATTATTGCGGGAAATTAAGAAAGCAGTTTACAAGGCCACATCACCCTTGGAGTATGAAAAACAGCTTTTTTCTTATTAAAACATCCATGCACAAGTTGCGGCTTAGAAAAGAAATTTAAATAAATTACCGACGGTCTTTTACATTTTCTAAACCCGGTAATTAGCTCGAAAAAATTAGAAAATTTCAAAAAAAAATTCCGACGGAAATTATAAATCCATCAGAAAATCTGCCGGAAATTGCATTTAGCCGCAGGGGTGTTTCCGGCCGGCCAATCCGTCGAAAATCCACAAATTGCATTTCGACAGATTTTAAGCGTCGGAAAAACCCATTATTTTGTAGTGAATGTTTTCATACGATCAGTATTTGTTTCAATTGTTAACATCACCATAATGTTGGATGGTGGCCTATTATTACTACCATATATATAAAGACATCATTGCTTGGTCTATATAATTGCTTCCCACCAAAGTCATCACCAGAGAGTCATAGCTCGAATCAAAGGTGGAACCATGACTAAGTGGCAGACGATGGTCGTTGCCTTTCTGTTCAAGTTATTTCTCGCAAATTCGGTGACATCACAACCACAGACAAAGATACTAATCAACAGTTGCGGCCAAATCAACGCCAGCAACCCCCTGAATTTCTTCCACAATCTTAACGAGACTTTTGGAAATGTGCGACGACAATTATCCAACAATAAGACCTACTTTGTGACTGCGGAACAGACGAGGAATTCAGAGCCAGTTTATGTACTGTGTCAGTGCAGGAAGTACATGTCAACCCGCGACTGTGTGGCTTGTTTTGATTTTGCGGTTAGGTCAATACGTTCTTGCGCTCCTGCCAAAGGTGCCCGTAGAGTGCTTGACGGCTGCTATCTCAGGTCAACACTTTCTTTCTTCTTCTAGACACAGATGCTACATATCTCAGGAAATCCTTAATGCATTGCATACTGTGGTTGTACCATATATTGCAAATACTTAAAAGACTTCTGGTGCCAGTAGAATTATTGTCCTCGGTATGTTTTTTCCTTCATATACAAATCCTTAATGCATAGCGTGGTTTGTATTTCGTTCATATACAAAATAGTTGATACGACGTTTTATTTTAAAAATGTTCTTAAAAACTTGTTAAAACGTCTAAAAATGTTTTAAACTTATTATAACACTTTTACATATAATACTTTTATTATTTGGCCCAAAAACTTATTTTTTATTTGGACATTTACAATTTTAGTAACTTGTGATTTATAGATGACATATGTGTGTGGTGCTTTGTCTGTGGATAAGACTTGAGTGGCTACAAATAGCTGTTATATATATATATATATATATATATATAT